AAAAGTTATTGCGTTTTAAAAGGTGTACGAACACTTTTATCTCTCTCTCTCTCTCTCTCGATCACTGTACTATCAAGCAAGTATAAAACTGTGGAGAGCTATAATGATGCGGATTTTGCGGACTTTTGTATGAAATAAAAATTGTCTGTTTTGGTTGCGACAAACTGATGTTAAGATGAAAATGTCTCTAAGCGTAATCCTTCGATGCTGGTCACGTTAAAGTAATTATTTAGTCACATTAAACACATTGAACTACTAAAGTAAAAAATAACTTCAATGACATAATCGATTGATGAATTTTCCTATCTTAAATAACGTTAGTACCGTGAATTCTGACCAGGGAGAACCGCAGTCTCAATCCGGAGAGCCTCGAAGAGGCAAATATAGTCGATCAGGCGAATTAGCGTCCATGATTAAAAGATTCCACCACGCCGGAAGTAATTTGGATGTCGTCTGGTTCCGGGCGTGCTGGAACGTTACGACTTCGCTTAGCCGCCTAAAAACTGCCTGCGAGGGCTGGGTGGCCGTTTAGGGGATCGTTATTAAGCAATCTCGAGGGGAAGGGATTGCACGAGTGCGCGAGATCGTCCGATACTTGCTGCGCTGGACCAAGTTATATTTTCTCCATCAACACCGAAATTCCTGTAATCGAAAATCAATGGTTGCGACGGCGCTTCCGGTTAACGTTCTTTTAAGCCGTCGGCCGCGTTCATTAGGGCGAGAGAGGCGTCGTCGACGACGCCCGACGTCGTTCTCGACCCCGATCCTATCGAGACGCCTCGTCGTCGCTGTAATTAACGAAGTTTAATCTGAAATCGGGACGATTGCAATCAGGATGCGTGGCCCCCGAGGGGATCGGTTGATAGCGGCCGCCTCGGGGCCAGCTCGTCGATGGTGAATGCATCGCTTTCATTTTACGAAATCTCCCTGAATAAATGAAGGGTACGCTGCCGATCCACTCGGAGACATAGTGACGTTATTGCGATCCCAAGATGAAAGGACAATCCTTGCAATCGGATATCGGAATGAAATAAATTCGACTCGGGGATCTCGGCGGAGATTCTACTATCGATATAAGCTTCGTCAACCTCCTTACGATTTCATCATTATTCCTGACATCTCTCGGGGATGCTTCCGGAATATGAGTTCGGCTTGGTTCTCTTTCTTAAATTGAAAATAAGTAAACACTTTTGACCGAGAAGAGGAAGAGAGAGAGAGAGAGGGAGAGGAAAAGAGGAAGAGAGAGAAAGAAAAAGGAAGACAGACAGAGTGAGAGGGGGGAAGGCGGAACTGAGACAGAGAGAGGGGAAGGAGGAAGAGAGACAGAGAGAGAGAAAGGAGAAGGAGAGACACAGAGAGACAGAGAGAGAGAGAGAGAAAGGAGAAAGGGAGAAAGTGAGAAAGAGAGAGAAAAGAGGAAGAGAGACAGATAGAAAGAGAAAGAGGGAGAAAGGAGGAAGCGAGACAGGGTGGCAAAGTGGGAGAGAGGGAGAGAATGGAGGAAGAGAGAAAAGGAGACAGAGAGGGAGAGAGGGAGAAAGAGAGAGCATGTTTCAGGGATCACAATTGCCAAGTGGATCGGACGAAAGATCATTTTCTTCTGGCAATAATCATAATTCATCAACCAAAAAGTGAATATAGTGAATTCTCCCCAATTTTCCTCCAGCCAATTGTCAAGAATTACAAAAACGAGATGCAAAGCTCGAATAATTGTATCCCCTCTTCCCAAACTGTCCATCTTCGTTTACAAGCTGAAGGAAGGTTAGGGAGAATTTACTGTATACTGTTGCATATTATCAGTGTCTTGATAGATTATAATAGCAACGATATAACAATTTGTAGATGTTTCGTAATTTGATTAAACGAGACTGAGGTGCTAATTCGGCTGGCTGTGCTCGGTGAATAAAGGATCATAAAATATCTTGGCGAGTGAGAAATATTTGCGACACTCGTAAATTAAAGGGACTGCGGAAAACAGTAAATGAAATCGATCATTGAGTTTTCGTATTTAAAGTTGCTGCTAGAGGCGTGTGCTAAGAAAAATTCAGTAATCGGTGAAATATGCACTTGATCGTAAAACATTATCAAGAAGTCGCATTTCCAAATCATTACATGCCGAATCAAAAAAACCAGAAAATCTTTCGCAAGTAGTAATGCGAAAAAATGGAACGGTTCATTATACAAAAATTGCTAATCAATAATTATTAATCGCGTTTCGCAAATTACATGTTTCCATCATTTATTTATTTTTTTTAGAAAGTTTCAATCCCATCTTTGAACGAAAAGCCAAGAAATCAAGACAAACAGTAATTTAAAAAATTAAAATCGTTCTCAATAAAAGATTACAACGTTATACTAAATTTCTCGAACAAAAGCTGATGCGATTCCAAGAAACAGAAATAAGAGTAATCCAGGGTCCAGAGATGAATAATCATGTTGACCGATTTGCATTCGGCATTTACATTCTACTTTATTTTTTCCTTCGCCGATCGAAATAATATGTAGATTTCCTTTCGGGCGAACAAACGGATAGAGGAACGCGTTTCACGAGAGAGTAAAAGGGAATTGTCAATCAAAAAGCATTTGATACGTCGGCAAACGTTCTGGAATCGGCCGCGGAATTCTTGACGTTCATTGGCGCGCGTCTAACAACAGTGGATGTAGTACATGTGAAACCGGCAAACGGAATCACAGGAAATTAAATGGAATCCGCGGGGCCGATTAATGGTCGGCTCCGAAGAATTTAATTCGAACGCGTGCACGGCCGCCGCAATTATTTAGCGTTGATTACATTTGAACGGTACGCGTACGATTAAAATCGAAATTGAGCGTGACCGCGACTCTCATTCTTTCGACGATTCCATGGAAACTATTTGAATTTCGCGCGATTTTTAATTCCAAATACGACATGTTTCGCAGATACTTAGCTTCCGAAATTCCACAGAAATGATTTTGCTAAATTGCGCATAGCTTCGGTATCTTTTACATCGTTCATAGAAATATTAATAATATATAATATAATATATATTATATATATAATAATATAATTAGACACTATTATCGCATATACACATAAATAATAAATTATTTATGTGTATTATATTAATTATAATAATATTATTTATGTGTAATATTAATTATAAAAAGAAGTCTATGGGAAGGCAGTCCCAGAATTAATAATTATTTTATCAGAGTCTAAAGAAACTCTTCGATACATTTTTCTACAAAAGTTGCAATTTCAATTATAGATTACAATAAAATATCTTGTGCAACGTAATGAAAATGTTGCTAAAGATATTACAAGAATATTGTGAGTATTATTGGCGGAATTAACAAGCAATAATTAAAAAGATACAAAAAAAAGTGATTCGTTAATTAAACTAGTCGTTGATGATTTGTTCTCGGTGAAACGTTGGTGCTCGTATTAATAAACTAGCATCTCTCTTCGTGACTGTCAACTGCCGTGGAGGCAACAGAACGACGAGAGTTGGTTCATCTAATTTATTTAACGTTAGGAGCGAGTCGTTGCACGAACTGGGCGAACGTCGGAGAATCTTTCAGACGGCAGACACCGCGCGAATTTAATGCAACGTTAAACTTGAAAGTAATTATCGTAATTCTAATAACTGCATCCTAATAAATTCGCAGCGCGAATTTCCTAAACAATTGGGTCCAATTAAAAATATTCCCGCGTGAAACGTACCTCGCCGAAACTTTTAATAACAAGCGAATGTTTACCTCGAAATTGAAACGAGATCCAAATTAAAACTCTCCCCGGCGCGGCGTGCTTGCGAAAATTCGACCACCACAACCTTTCGTTCGCAATCCTCGCAATAAAACTAAGAAAACTTTACATTTTTACTTCCGAAGCGGAACTATTCCGCAGAAACCAATCAAACGAGTTGGGCAAAATGTAATCTCATTACTACATTGCTGGCTGAATCTTGTTTTCTACTAATTGTTCCCGGAATGTTCCGACGTTTCAGTGATATACGTGCGAGGTCAAGGAATGATTATTACAATTAATTATGTTTCAAGAGATACTTGCAAACATTTAGATGTCTATTTCTTGCACTTTCCAGAGGAAACACCAAAGTAAGAGATCGGCAAAATTTAATGTACGATTTAATGTAAATAATGAGAACGTAAATTAGAAATGTGTTACGACTATTATAATTTTGTGTTTTAATTTAAACAGAGCTGAATTAATATTACGGACGTTGTTATTTGTAAAATGTTTACAGTTCTCGTAATATTCAGGAACTTTATGAGTATTCTTCCATTGTATTCAGAAATTAATTAAATTAAGTTCACACACGTTGTGCTGTGTTCAGAGCATGTTATTATAATCGTACATACGAATGTTCGCCGTGAAATATTGTTCATAATTTACGAAAGAATTGAATCGATGCTACACGAACACCCTTATATCACATTCTCGATATTACTCAGTTTAACTTTGAAAAAATACCTGATAACAAAAACAACACAACAAACAATTCAACGTCGGACCGTTGCGCTGCAAAAATCCCAGAATATCCACAGCATAGCAATCGCCGGGAAGCACACGGTCCGAACACAATTAAACACACCGAAATTACTCTTTCGCTTTCGGCGACCCGTGGAACACAATCAGCTCCATAAACAACCCTATAAAACCATCCCCTCCCAATGGGCCTCCCCATAACCCTCAAGGCGACGCGGCGAACGAAGAACAGTCGAAAAAAAACGATCGAGCGATCGCGCTGTTAGGATCAAACGCGGTAACTCGATTCCGAGGGAAGACGGTCGATTCGATTACGCCCACCCCGGCTTTTCTGCCGTGATTATGACACGACGGTTCGTTCTGGAGAGGACACGAGAGAGAGAGAGAGAGAGCAGGGTTGTCGGCGGTGTGGGTTGGGAACCGTGGAAACAAAAGATCGCGGGAGGAAGCAGGGATACAAAGTGCGCGCGCGACGGTTCGTTAGAGGGAAGAAAAGGGGATGGTGTGTCCGTACCTCGAGACCGGGCCACGCTTCGTTACTCATCCGTCGAGAGAATCCTGAAACAAAAACGGCAACGGATGCAATTAGACACAATGTGATGATCTCTGTCAGTGTGTTATGTATCATCGGCCGGGTTTTCCGAGCGGGGATGGAACGGGGGGAGGAAAGGGGCTGGGGAAGCAGGAAGCTAGGATAAGGACGAGGGTTCCGTCGCCTCGAGCCGGATTTCCTATTGAATTTAGCCGGGATCTCCACGGCGCGATATTATATCGCGGTCTACCCTCATTTGCGCCGCCAGCCACCCCCGCGCTCGAATCCATTTCCGACTTTTCCACGGCCGCCGCCCCGTCGCGTCGACACCAGACGAGAGCTCGTTTGTCACGGGTTGTTGTGCATCCTCGTTTTCCAATTCGTACATTATCTACATCCGCGGATTCGCGGCTCGGGAACTCGCTTTGCCGGCGACCGTCACGTTTCGCGGGTGAACGAACTTTCGGGGGCTCTCGGAGGAGAGTGATCTTTCCTCGTGGAGTTCGGCTTTTGTTTCGCTATTTATTGCGGAAGATGGGCTGCTTGGCTCTCGCGGCGAAATTGTTGAGTGGATTTTGGAAAGAAGTCGAAACGCGACTGACACTTTGATTATTAACCCTAGAAAGATAACCATATGACAACGTACGTAAAAGATAACCATACGCTTCAGAGGCGCATGCTTTTCTAAGGCGTCAATTTTATACGAACAATGGATATTTATTTAAGTTAATCTAGTCATTTTAAAGGTTTGGCATTATTGTAAAAATAAAATGCATTTATATTATATTTTTTTATATTTTAAGTAATTTTAAACTTAAATCACTAGACCTCTATGAAAAATTAACAAAAATCAACAGTCTTCGCAGGCGCCTCTGCGACGTAGGTTATCTTTCTCGGGTTAACACTTTAACGACCTCATGTCTACGCAGTCAAACATCGCCAGGGGCCGGCAGTATTTTTGAAGAATTAATTTTAAAGAACTTTATTAAATTCACGAAAAAGTTAACATAAAACAAAAAACAAATAGGCAATAATTAAAAATAGGCAATAATTACCTATAATCAAAGACGTGACAATGAAATATATGAAGCCAATAGCAATATCCACACTTGTTTACATTCATAAATTATCACACAAAGAGTGTGGTACTGGCCAACAACCTTCGGCGGCAGCATCACACACATGTTGTGTGAGCGGTCGGTAACGGTTGTTCCGGCTATCACACACATGTTGAGTGAGCGGTCGTTAAAGTGTTAAAACGGTCGAAAAATTATGCGACATCGGACGAATTTGGACAGTGCGATGTAACGTACGAAATCAAAGGTTAATACTCGGCTATCGATGTTTAGGATAAGTAAAAATGGTTTTCATTCGTTGCAAGATTCGGGAACTAGATAGACGTTCGCTTCTTTTCTCTCTCTTGATCGTTTTAATAAATTAACACTAAGCCTACCAAAAAGTAATACTAAATGGCGTGTACTGCTTCACAAAAGTGAGAGCACCGAATTTATTTAGATTTTGTAAAGTTTTCATTATAAAACTTGCTTCAATAATATAACTTATTCAAGCGTTTTCCACGAAAGAGTCTCGGAACTTCGCAGAATTGCAAAATAAGAAAACGGTCACTTTGACCGCGGTAGGTTTAGCGTTAATATAATAATATTTTCGAGTTGTTCAAATATGTTTTGCTATTTTGCATGGCGACGGACTTTCATCTATTTCTAACGTGCACAGATTTTTCAGACGCGAACGAACGTAGTTAGTAGTTAGTTTCTCTTTACAAAGAATAATCTGTTACTCAACGATGAACATTTTCCTCTAATTCTATCTTTTGTAAAGTAACGTATCAAAATCAAAATTTTCATATTGCGAGTACAATTGATATTTAAGGGTAGACGTAGCAGTAACTTGCATAATTATCCTTTCTATCGAGATTCGGGAATATTTAAAAACCGCTCGAGTTTCTCAACTGTGGTGCGTAATGTCGGAGACAATGGAAGTTTTAGACAGCTGTGAAAAAGACGGGAAATGAAGCAATTTATGGAGTTCGCATTTAACAATGGAAGAATGGGTCAGAGAGGGGCATCGTATATCAAGCAGAAATCTTTTTGCATCGGAGTAATAAATTATTTGACAACCCAAAAGCCAAGCCGAGCACACGGAATAATCGGATTATATGCAGAGATGAATTAAACAGCGACGCTGTGAACCTTCTTGCTTTGCGATGTCGTGACAAATATGTCGCGCAGAATATTACAAACACAGATAAATAAGAATATTCCGGTATTCTGAATTCACGCAAAATTGTCTGATTCAAGTATTAAATAACCTTGAAGCGCGAGTTAGCGGGGAATGGCAATTTATATTATTTAAGTCGCATAGAAAAGAAGACGCTTCCGTTCTAAAACCGCGAGATCCGGCGAAAACAGTTAAACAAAAAAATATATAGCATATGTTAACAATGTTTAAACTCACGCAAGCGATTCACGTTGGTTTCCTTTTGGATAATTAATGCTTCGTGCCGGATTTCCGCGTTCTATTACCATTTGCACCGTAATAGCAGCACCCCTGTAGTATCTGCGTCTTTTTATGCACAATCGTGCAAGCGTTGTGCAACGTTATATGTAGATTGTCGATCTTTATGCACTTATGGCGTGTACAAATTTCACAGAAACAGCGAAATGCAGAATTGACTGAACTATAACTCGTTATAGCGCACTAGAACTACAATGTACCCGTAACAGTGGTATCAATCTGTTATCACCTCCCACAAATTTCGTTGGCGACAGAAATTGCTCAATCAACCTTTCCCGGACCCTAATCGTCAATGTACAATAGACGGTACCTCCAGCTTTGTATCTTGATTTCTTTTACAACCCCTGTGGTCGACGTATCGTGCAATGATCCTGTAATTCACACAAATGGACTTTTTCAGATACCATTCGTAGTATTTGCGAATGAAACCTGTGATCAAATTATTCAAAGATCTGGGTTAGGATTTCTAATCTGATTTCTTGAAATCCCATTTTCCTTTCAAAGTAATCGTTCAGAAAGATGGATGTTCAAATCACATTAATGTTAGCACCAAATCCGAAGCGCTATAAATCTGTTACTATGTTCGCGACCACATGCGCGGCGTTCACGATCTTCAGTGTTGTTAGTGCACAGCACTAATGTCTTTATGACACGGACGTGCATAACCAGCTGTTTTTCGAGCCCAGGTTTTTTGGGAAATCGTTTCTCTCGGTCTCGATGGCCGGGACTAGTTATAAAGAAGGAAAGGTTCCGAAGGGTCAGCCTGACATTGTTTTATGACGGTCATGCCTGGAGGAACTTTCCTGTCTTTGCCGGGGCCTTGCGGCCGTCTGCTTTGAAACGGACCAGCTGATTGGCTATTGCCAAAATCGGGCAGGACCAATCGGCGCATAGTGTAGGTGCGTTGGAGGGATGGTAGTCTGCTACGAGCGAGGGTATTCTCTGATAGAGCTTCAGAGTTGTAATAGAAGTCGTAGCATCAAGACAT